TAAAATAATTTCCATGTAGGATATGGGGTATTGTTTTCCTTTAATGTGTACGCGTAAACTGGGTACACTCTATATAACTCACTTACCTACATTACTCAGTACCCTATATTTATTTTAGAATTATATTAGCCGGAGGTTGATGATCCAGTAGTCTAGTTGCATGTGTCATGTCCTGCAACAGAATTAAAAAATATGTATAGAGCACACACATTGTTTAGTACAAAATAAGTCAATATTATACTTAACTAATTAAATACAAATTACTCTAAAGTATTTGAAAGAATTTTAATAAAAATATGAAATATATTAAAATTATAATTTTCCCTAACAAGATTTTTTAGATTATAATATTATGTACAATTGAAAAAAAATCTGACAGTAAAATGACTACAAATTAATAAAAATTGGTCAAATTGCCAAGTTTTCATGACTATTATTTTCTGGACAATAATTATAATTTATAATAGAATAAACCAAATGTTTTTATTCACTAAGTAATGAACTTTTGGTAATAGCTTATGTTTTTACTCAAAGCTCAATGTTTGCTCAATTACTACCTACCTGTAAATTTCAAAAATAAATAATGACGTTTTTTATAATATCAACTCAAGAATTAAAAAAAACTTCTATAAATAACCTATCTTAAATATCTAAGTACTTATAGATCCACGGTTTTCGACTTTACACTTTTTACATAAGATAAAGCACCATGCAGGTATACTCTATATAGGTGATCTTGGAGATCGTATCCAGCCTATCCATTTACAACGTTTGTGACGGCTTTCTAGACGCTCAAACTTTTAACATTCCCGCCAAAGCGTCTAGCCTTATCTCCAATCCATATCACTAATCCTTATCACTAATCCTAAACTTTCGTCTTACAACCTTTGCGACTTTTATAATTTATTGTCTCCAAAATCGGTACCCACTCCCAGCGAGTCCGACGGGCCCCGAGTTACACTTAGAGCTAGTATTTATAATAAGACTACAAATTACAAATACAATAAAATATGGACTCTTTCCGTTTAAGATTATGATCGAAGATAATGCCAAAATATTTAATTTTAGAAAAATTTTCGAGTACCTATATTATTGCAATTACAAGTATGACGTATGTATTTTACTTAAGCAACTGTAGCTATAATAATAGGTGATGTCATCTTTTAAAATTTAAAGGGACTTTAGAATTATTTATATGAAAAAAACATGAATTTAGATTTATAAGCATTAAGTTCAATAAATCGTTTTCTAACCCAGGCTTTAATGGCATTGATACATATAAATAAATTATAATTTTAATTATAAATATCAAAAACAAAGAAAGTATGCAAATACCTATTCGTAATAAAATTGATTATTCTTCATCCTGCAAACTATATAGATAGATATCCATACCCATTTATGTAAATTTATTTTTACAAATATAACCAATTTTCATATTTTTTATGTACATTTTATCACGTTTTAATTAATGTAAATTTGTTTGCATATACTTACGGTATTGTACACCTTCGCTTATTTCCCATATGATGAAGGTTTCAAGTTTATATACCTACCTACTACAGCCTACAGGTATAGGCGTCTACGAGCTCATTAATTAATCATTAATCATTATAAGCAATGTTAATACTCATGGCCTATATTATCTATAGTGTGTTATATGAATACCAAATTAGACTCACGACAGCTAATAATATCAACTCTAACGATACATAGGAAATCTTAATAGTAAGTTTAAGCATTTTTAATTAATACATATTATAAATTATAATATTATTACGATAGGAATGTGCTATGTTTTTTTTTTGTTTTATTGTGACTTGAAAATTGTTCTAAAACATGGTATGGAAGAAAACATGACCGACAAATAATGACGAGTGATGACAATATAGAATAATATTATTGTGGCCATGTCTGAGAATTTATGTTATATACCTGGCAAATGTATTACATTTTCACTCGGTACTCGATAAAGGTCGAACCACTTATTGTGCGGTTATGCCTATAATTATATTATTGTGCGGTTATGCCTATAATTATATTATTGTACAACTGTCAAAACATTCATACCGTCGAAAAGTGATTTCCAAGTACAGTAATAGATACCATACCTGTTACAAGATTTGTTCAGATTAGAATATTACAACTCAAGTCAATATTTTATTATATTGTAAAAATTGACTTATACACTCGACAATACGAAAAAAGCAACAATAGTTTTTTGTGTTCACAAATTTTTTTTTTTTATTTATCGAACAAAAACAATATGAAATTTTTAATTTTGAATATAATTTCAAAAACGGAAACAATTTTGGAAACGTTTGCCGTTATATTATACAATTTTGTATGTTCAAAAAAAAGTTAGAACAAAAAAGAAAAAGCCGAAATTTATAAAGTCAATATTATTCGATATAAGTAATGAAAATTTAAATGGAAAAAAAATACGACGGACAGGAGACACAATAAACTAGGGGGGAGGATGCGGGATGGCGATTTGGTGCGGATATGCAATGATGTGGCCACTGGTCACCTCTGCACGTCCCCACGACCGGTCCACCAGGTTGACGAGTGTCACGGGCGCGTTTGCTCGGACGCGTGACGACCTTGCCCAGCTGGCGAGGCCAGACCGAGACGGCCACGGGAGCGACTACGGTTGACGGCGACGAGCGGCGGCTATAGGGCGCGATGTCGTGCGCGTCGACGGTTGTTGACGGTGACGACTCTGCGACGGACGGCGAAGACCAATAGACACGCGGAGAGAGTGAACAGAGATTTCGTGCTGCGGAACAGTTTGCGACACGGCCGATGTGGGATTGCCGCGGGACGAAAAGGCGAGAGTCGTCGGATCCTTGACTCCCGGTAATTTTCGTCCTGGCGTCGTCCCTTCAGCCGCGTCTTCGTCCAATGACCGCCGCCGGACCAGTTAACTAACCAAACTATAGTCTGAGTTCCCTCGGTTCCGGCGCCGCTCACGTCCGTGTTCCTAACACATAATCTCTACACCACTGACTCACCCCGTGCCAAAGTCTGCGCCGTTGCCGTCGAAGCGAGTCGCCATCGCCATCGCCGTCATCGTTGGTACCGTCGGGGCGGAATCGTTGCCCGCGTCCGTATACCTATGCTATATCCGCCGCGTCGTCGCCGTTGTCGTCCGTCGCTCCTCGTGACCGTAACTGCAGCCGGGCGCTCGCCGAGCCGCCAGAGGGTCTCGCGCGTCAACTACGGCCGAGCGCGCTACGCCCGCGAACCCGTCTCGCTGGTGGTGGTCGGAGAACGTGCGCGGGTGACTCACCGCCGCGCACCTTCCGTGCTCTTTCCCGCATCCTCCCCTCCTTTGCGTCGCCGTCTCCTGTCCGTCGTCTTCGGCCCACGTGGGCTGTGCTAATAGTATTAGCTCCGGGCGGTTTTACACCCGCAGCAGAACAACACGAGAAAAACGCGTTTCACACTTTTCCACGTCGACTTTCTACGTGGAGAAACGGGTTTTTCGACTTCTACTGCAGGACTCTCCTTGCCGATTAGCTCACTGTCCATCACAGCTATTTCCTTGGCCGGTTGCTCAATGTCTGCACATAATTCGTCTTCTGCAGCTGCAGGCATCACTACGTCTTCTACAGCTGTAGGCATCTGCACTACGTCTTCTGCAGCTGCAGACATCACTGCGTCTTCTACGGCTGTAGGAATCACTATGTCTTCTACGGCTGTAGGCATCACTATGTCTTCTACGGCTGCAGGCATCACTAGGTCGTTGTGAGGTCCGCCCTCGGAAGTCGGACTTGGGTCGACAGTCCACAACTCCGAGGACGGTGCGTCGCCACCCGACTGCGATTCCTCCTGAACTGCTGATGCTTTTGTCAACCCGTCGTTCTCTTGGACAGTGTAGCCGAGTGGTGCTGTCTCGGGGGTCTGAGCTGCAGGCTCAGACTCTGAGAGAGACAGCGCATCGCCACTTGGCAATTCACTGTCCAAGACAATTGATCATAGATAATAGAAGAATGGATAGGCCATGTTAAATCATACAACGCAAGTGGTCGCGGTCTTTTAAGTATGAGAGAGAAGGCAGTTTCTCACTCCCGCAAGTGGCGATTTTGTTAGGTTATGTTCAAATATAAAAATTAAAATAGATAACATCCTTTGTTTTGTTCATAGATAAAATCTATATTATCTATATTATCTATGTTTTGTTCTGTGATAAACTGATAGCATTAAATTATTATCTATCTATTGCCTTTTATAACCTCAAAATATTTTTCCAATTAATTCCCGTGTGATAAGGTTGCATGGCCTATCCATTCTTCTATTATCTATGCAATTGACTCATCAAAATGTTGTTCGTTATCGTCGTCGGTTTTTTCTGGCTCTGGCCCTGGGGACTGCACGTCACCACTAGACGTCGTTTCCATACCAATGGAATATAGAAGAGATGTTACTATTATTATCAGATTTTCGTCGTCGCTTTCATCTTCATCATACAGACCTTCCATAATGCCGATTACAATTGCTTCGAGCATTTCGAGCATTGCGTCCTGTACCTCGTTGCTTTCGTTGTTGACAGCCATTTTTTATTTGCAAGTAGATAGGTATATGTGTCAGTTGTAATTGAGAATTGCTAGTGAGCTAAATACAAGTCTCCCAACACAGAGACCGATCAATTCTAAAATCTCCCAGGCGACGACTTGTATCTATATATTATTATATATAGCCAGATAGTACGTTCATCGTTCATCGGCTCACAGCATTACCTTTTCGAGCCCGTTAATTTTTCTAAAGACTATTATTATTATTATCATTATTATTGATATAGTATAGGTAGGTACCTAATATCATTGATTATATAATACATCAGGAACAATTTAATAGGTAGTGTTTTTAAAAAAGATGACAAAGAAATTTCTTATACTGATATAATTGATACTTATCAAGTGGACAAAAAAAATAAAAAAAGTAGGGCTCTATTAAAAATAACTGATGCACATATATTCCCTAATTCTTTCCAAAAAATGAGGGTAAAATTTGCCACTCAAGTATTTAGCCATTCAATGGCATCAACAATGCGGACGTGTATACAAACAAAACAATTACAAAATAAAAACGCACAAGATACAGCAGATTTCGTAGACTTCATGAACAAACTTTTTGATTGCTTGAATAGTAGAACTCTTCTAAGTAATAATCCATATAATTGTGCTCTTTCGGATGTGGGAAAAGTGAAACCTTTTTTAATGAAAGCTTCAACATATTTCACAAATATGCATAAATATAAAAAAGGAAAGATGTCTCGTCCTCCCTGTTTCAATGGAATTACACAAACCATTAATGGAATATTGAATCTATTTGAAGAAGAAAAACAAAATGGTATTTTGTTTTTACTTACCAACCGCTTCAATCAGGACATTTTAGAAAATCTCTTTAGTATTTTCCGTCAAAAAGGGGGGTACAACAAAAATCCTACTGCTAGGACTTTGAGAACATCGTTTCGAAGTAATTGTATTTTTTCATTGGTCACTTCAAAAGGAACTAACTGCAAAGCAAATATAGAAGATTTGGATGAAATTCAGTTGCAAGAACAGGTTAGCTTAGTCGTTGAATTACCTCCTCAAGATCCACTATCATCATCATCATCATCATCGTCTTCACCAACACCATCAACATTATCGTCACCTACGCCATCATCATTATCATTGTTGACATCAACATCTTTAAATAATATAGAAATTAAAGAAGAAGAACCGATAACATTAGAAGATTGTTCAGTATTATACTTTGCAGGATATTTGGCTCATAGATGTATTGCACAATTTAACTGTACAAATTGTATCAATTATGTGTTGACAAACAAAAACATTGACGATAAAAACCAATTATTATTATTAAACAAAAATTATACTTATTTAGAAATTCAAAACGATATAGGATTGAAAGCACCATCAAAAGATTTTAATAATATAATAAATAAAGCTCTTACTATTTTTGAAGATAAAATTAAAAATATTTTACATAAAAAAAAATAAAATCAAAATTGATGTCAATTTTTTATAAGGATTTTGTTATTAATAAATGGATTGATGATGAAAATATAATGTGTAAAGAACATAAAATATTTATTTTAGAAAAACTTTTGATATGCAAAATTTTTAAAACAGCTAAATTATTTTCAACAACATCAACCCAGACAAAAATAGCTAAATTAAAAATTTTAAATCATATTTAATCCAATTTTATTTTCATAAATAGTTTTTAAATTTATATTTTTATTAATTTTGACAAATTGATATATTAATTATGTGTATTATATAATCAATGATTATACCTATAAACTATTGAATTTTATATTTTAATTGAAACATTATTATTATTAACATAACAGTATTATAACGTTTAGTGAATTTTTCTTACTTACCTCTCAATTTTATTTATATTACCTGTTATTACTATTATTTTATACATTACAATATTATGACATTTATGGAGTTATCACATGAACAATTTATTAATATTTAATGATTCAATAAAATTTAATGGACCAATTTATTATTATTTGATTATTAATTTTTTAAGCTACCTATTCTATTAGCTCACTATTGATTCATTAAAATATGTTTAGTAATTGTTCATGCAACCCAGCATTAGTGTAGATATTATTTGTTAACCTACTAAATTGTATTTACATTTATATAAATTGTTGACAATTTTAGGACAAATTGTATTTTATATGTTAAAAAAATTTTTATTATAATTTAAATGAAATAATTAATTTGATTCAAATATACAAAATATAGGTACCTATATATAGTGAATAGTGATTCACTCACCTTATACAAGAAAATTCCATTCAATAACTCACTATTGATGTATTGATTTATGTTCTTTAATGTTCAAGTTACAACAGTCTACAGAATATGAGTATTTCCTATTTAGTTTATAAATTATATTTTGAAGACAGTCAGTAAACTCGTGGCCCGTGGTCTGTTGTATTATATAATAATATAATATTAAATTGTCATCAATGGTTATACCAGGGGGGCGGTTTTGATAGAGTGAGTCATTTGACACATAACCACTTCATCCATCTCATTTCATTCACTTCATAATTTAGCAATGAGAAAATATTTAAAGCCACCGTAGTCACTGATCTCATCTCACAAATATCATTTATGATATCACAACTCACTTTACCTGGAGAAATTAATAAATAATTTTTCCACCATGAATATATGTAAATTTGATAACGAATAAATATGATAATATCTAAAAATAATTTTTATTGTTGTAAAGAATTATTATATTTTATTTATATCATCGTGATAAATAATTATTAATTAATAATATTCTGTCATGTTAAACTTTTGTCACAGGATTTCACGGTTATAAAAAATAGTTTTTAGTTGTGATTTATTTTTTATTAACCAGTATACTGTATAACACCCGTATAAACAATAAAAATGGCACGTATAAGTGAAAACCAGAAAAATGTCATGGCAGATTTTTTTATTCTCAACCGTAAACTTATTGAAAATAAATTTAGTGATTCGTTCACATTTGAACACGGAGAAAGGCTGTGGAATGAATTAGGTGAACTCTTAAATGCCAGTGGAAAAGCTCAAAAAGATGTCAAGAAGTGGAAAAAAGTAAGTTGTTAAAATAAGTGTTGGTAAATTGGTAGGTACTTTTTACTCTTTTGGTTTTCTTATAATTATTTTTTGAGCTTTTTCCAATTTGTATTTTAATTAAAATATTAATCTTTCCAGTCTAATCTACATAATCAATAACGTTTGAAAAAATTATTTTCTAAAGTTTAACCCGTAAGTGGTACGACATTTTAAGAAGTAAACCAAAACAAAAACTGCAGCGGTCTATGGGACCGGACCATACCACTTCCGGGTTAGATAACAATTTTTATTCATAAGTTTTTCATAGTAGATATCGTATCCACCCACAGAACAAATTATAGGTTTAATAATAGTATTACCAATAGGCAATAATAAATTGCTAATTAGTAATTACAATACATTACTCATAACACTTTAATTATTATTTGACTAAAATATAGTTGATACTCGATAGAAGTGTTTTTTTTTTTTATAAATTTTAAATTTTAAAGGTATTTGAACAAGGGGTGTTGTTTGAACAGGCAGAGTCCCCCAAGGGTTGGTTTCATTTAAATATGTAAAGACCTTCCAAGTAAAAAACTGTAATTGTGCCTAAGAGTGTTGCTGTTGGTTTATTGAGACTTAGTAGTTTTTATGTTAAATTAACATAATTTTAACTAATTAAAAAAAATGACCAACTTGCACAGGTTTGGAAGTGAGTAAGTGACATGGTGCAGTAAGGCAATTGAAGATGATATTGTTATAACACAAGAGAATATTAAGGTTATGCTATGGATTTTTAAAATACATGACAATATTGTACAATTTGTAACAAAGTATTACATAATGTAAGCCTCATGGAAATATATCTAATTTAATAAGTATATCATAAAGGTTATTACGATATGTACAACCTATTAAAATATTAAAAACGTGTATTAATTTTCTAGACTTGGGATGACCTTAAGAGGACTATTAAAGACAAAGCTGCTGTAATAAAACGTGATTCCTTGAAGACTGGAAATCAACCAACAAATATTATTCTTTCCCCACTTGAAAGTAAAATCGCTGACATTATTGGGGAAGTACTGATTAGTGGAGATCCAGAAGTACATGAGGTAGGTATCAACCAAACCGAAGTTATTGTGGCTATTAACTCGGTGTCTCCTGATAAAACTCAACCATCGTATAACTGGAATACACGTAACGAAAATAATAGTCTTATTGATGATGATAAAATTGTAAATGAAAAGGTTCCTTTAAAACAAAATATTGCACCAAAAAAAAAAGCTTCACGCACATACACTGAAGCTTTTGAAAGTGGACCGGGTTATGAAGAAATGATTAAGCAACAGAAAAATTTAGCCGATGCCACTATTAATCAAGCTGTGCAAATGAAACGCATAGCGTTAGCTTTAGAAGACAGAAATGCAATAGAACGGGAAAGAAATATAATTTTAGAGCGAAAATATTCTAAAAAGTACCAGCAAACCCACAACTCCTCAAATATAGACTATGAAGATGTCAGTGTGATTGGCATAAACGATATAGAATAGTTTTTTAAAAAAGGAAAGATACTAAAAAGTAGTTTTTCCATGTCAAAATTACTTTTTTAAATTAAATGTTACTTTTATTCCAATGTACTAAAAAGTTGTTTATGTCTGTATGAATGTGACACATAAATTAATTATGCATATGGGCATTAATCTTGTTATATAAATTTATTATTAGTGGCAGCATACAAATATGTACTGTGAAAAGATCTTGAGGTTTAATTATTTTTTGTTTTTAATTTATTTTAATGTAAATTAAGTCTATACAATTGTACCTTTTGATTATTAAGAATACCAAATATGGTTTTTGTTAGTATCTACTACTTACTATACTAGCTGTTACCTATATATGTATAAGACTGATAATTGGTGAAAAACAGCAAATCTCATGTGATATACAAAGAATACATTTATTTAATGTTAAAATATGTGTACCATTATTTATTAATGTGTAAAAAACTGATTCAGTAGTTCTTGACGCGTCTGTCGTCCAGCATTTAACAACTCTTCAACTTCTTGTCCATGATTTTCTTCATATTCATCCTCTTCTTCTTCATTATCATATTCAGGCAGCCCAATATTATAATGTATAGCCACATTATGTAAAACAGCACACGTTATAATTATCTTGGAAGCTCTTGTAGGTTTATAATGCAATGTGCGATCCTTCAATAGGCATCTCCAACGTTGTTTCAAAACCCCTATGCACCTTTCAACTGTACAGCGGGCCCATTTGTGAGTTTTATTGAACCGGTGTTCAGGTGAATAAATTTGATGATTTCCCAAAATTGGAGTTATGCACCATGGTTCCAAAGGATAACCACTGTCACCTATAAAAAATTGTGATTAACATTTTTTAAATTTAGATACTATACTACTATGATCATTTTGAACTTACCAATGAGAAATGTGTTTTTAGCATTAGTTTCTAACAAATGAGAACGAATTGTAGAGTTCTTCCATACATATGCATCATGACTACGGCCTGGAAACTTTGCATTAATTGATAAAATTTTTAAATCAGCATCTGTTACCTATGAACAATATTTGCGTTTAATGTTGTATTAACAATTCTCTAGATTTGGGTACATATTAGTTTGGATACTTAAGTTACTTACTATTTGACAATTAATTGAATGATACTGTTTTCTATTAATATATAAATGTTCTTGATATAATTCATCAATTTCATTAGGTGGAGTAATAGCTATTTGTGTGCCATCTACTGCTCCAATTGTATGTGGTATATTAAATTTTTCTAAAAACCTTATGAAATAAAATAGTAACGAATTCTGAATATTAATTATAGAATAAAATAATCAATTTATGTGATTGATGCATCATAAAAAAATAGTTTGACATTGAAGAACTAATTGAAATATTTGAAACAATAGCAAATTATTCAAATCAACTATAAAAAGGGAATACACATTGTATATATATTTGTTTTATTTTTTGTAGTATAAATCTACTTAAACTTGATTTTTATTTTACACACTTAATAAATGAATTTTTATTTATTTTTTATCATACTTATCTATTTAAATTTATAATGTATATAAAACAATAAAAGAATATTTATACCCTTTCAAAATCTAAGCTTGTGCCAAAAGGGTGAGATCTAAGTACAATTTTCAACAATAATGTACTATATAAAGTATAGACATTTAGTATACCTACTGAATGAAACTAAGAATATCATTTATAAGACAGTTAGGTAGGTATATGATTAAAATTTAATTTTTAAACAAATTTAACTTAACTGTGGTATTATACACATTATAGCTATTTAAATTAGTGTTAATGTTGTTCCTAGTATTATATCTAGAATCAGATTTACATAATATATGTTTATATTTATATATAAGT